TAACAGCGAGAATATCAGAATGTTCTTATGACAAAATTGAAAAGAAAAAAGCATCGGTTGATTATTTTACAAGAAAACGGAGAAAGAATTAGGCATAAACTAACCAATAAAAAAATAAATATTGCAAAAAAAACTTAAAAATAAAAATTATGGAGATTTGCATAGGAAAAAAAATTGTCGGGGTACTAGCTGACCAGTGGAAGGTTTAAGTTTTAAGCGACAAATAATTTGGTATTTTATTGTTCCACTAGATTTCGGACGGTTTGCAGCACATTTAAAAGACACCAGAACCAGCCTAATATATTTAAATATTCCCACAAAGCCACCGCCGAGGTGCTAATTCTAAAAACACCCAATCGCACAGTGCACAGTTGTCAAACTGTAAAAACAAAGTGGTACCATGTATTTTATTATTACTAAGCGTCTGTGTATTTTTGTAGAATTTACCGATCTTACCGCTTAAGGTTACCAGATGTCAGGAAAAGTCCGGGCATGTCCGGATTTTTTTTTCGCTTTGTCCGGATGCGACAAAAATTATAAATTTTCAGGAAAGTCATGATAATTATGATAACAAAATAATATTTGCAACTTTCCATTGAGTCGGGAAATAATTTAGTTTTAGACAATAGACAAGCATTTATTACAAATGTTTTATTACTTTACGTGGTAGTCCTTGGAGAATTTTTGTTGTAATACGGTCGTATCCAGGGGATTTTTTGGATTAAGTTTATTGCAAATAACATATTTTACTGTAAATTGTATTTTTTTTTCGATATTTGTTAAAAACATGTATAGCCGATCAACAGAAAAAAATCTGCAACGTTAATTTTTATTATTTTCTAAGAAAAAACTGTTGTATGTACTCTAAATAATAAAAAAATCCCATATGATGCGGACTTAACGGTGACTTTTTGTATCAGAAGAAATGTAAAAAAATTATAATTCTGATTGACTTTTTTTTTTAATTCTTAGAATAAGAGGATACAACGAGTCGAGAATATGCTGTTCAAACTTTAGAATAATATTCAGTTACTTTTATAACACTCTCTCTCATCTTGAGATATACCGGGTGTTCAACTTAAAGAGTTACAGCTATATACCGCTTTTTATAAAAAAAAAACGTTTCAGACGAAAGTTTTATAGTTTTGTGGGGAAAAACTTTTGCCTAAAATCGTTTTTTATAGCTAACCATAATATGGCCAACTTTTTTTTCGCGCAGCAACATTTTCAAGTAGCTGTTACTCAAAAAGTAAAAGTTCAATAAAAAAAATATTTCCCTCAAAAGTTTCTTATTTTTTTATGTACTTTAAGAATATGTAAGAAAAAAATGGGATTCCCATTTAAAAAAACAAAGTCCACCTCGATATGGCCATATTATGGCCAACTACAAAAAAATCAATTTAGCCAAAATATTTCCCCCAAAAAAACTATAAAACTTTTGTCTGAAACTTTTTTTTCTAAAATGCATATTTTCGGCGGTATTTGACTGTAACACTTTAAAATGAACACCCGGTATACAAATATTGGGATCTAAAATTAAGATGATAGCGCCGTCTGTACTTGATATTTAAACTAAATGTTGTGGCTTGTTATTGTTCACATTTTTAAGTTTATAGACAGTCTATAAAAAGTATTTTGTTTATATTGTGCTAATTTAAGGAAAACATATTGTTGTTGTTAATTTTTAGTGATTATACACTTTTATTTCAATAGCTTTTAGTAAAGTATATATTTTTATTTGATAAGTAACCAACCCCCTATTAATTTTGTTTTTGAGTTACTTTAATTCATTTTTTAATTTAAGAGATTTATGTTATCTTTTGATAAAATATTAATATATTTATTCTATTTTTAGTGAGATGTCTGAAATAAGGCTAAGTTAATAGAACTTATGAAGTATATTGGTGGAGGTGAAAATTCTAGGACTGTTATTGAGGAAGAGGTTATTTTAAATGCAGGCCATATAGTTTTTATGTGGGAAAAATGCATTTAGTGATAAACATATACCTGTTTATGCAGTTGTTCTCCAAACTAGTGCAATGATTTCAGATCCCCATATTGTTGTAGGCCAGTTCTTATTAACAAGATGTAGAAATTGGTAAATGGCAATGTTCGTTTTAAGCTGGAAACAGTGGAGAGTGCAAATATATTTCAGGAATCTTAATAAAGTGTTCTAGGTGTATACTGTTTCAAATAATAAAAGAACTATCAAGCTAATTCGATAGAATACCTTATGATTTCTACACCCACATGTATATTATTTATTCTACGCACAGCACAGACTACAGAACGAAAAAGTAGGCCATTGAACGAATATATTTATCCATTCTATGAAGAACATTGTACAGATATGAAATTCACCAATCACAGTTCATATTTGGTCTCCAGGAAACTATTATTTTTTAAAATTTTAAATGAGTGACAATTCTGTCAAACTAATTGTCAGTAAATTATTTTAGTTATTAAGATTAAATATAATTACAAATGAGTGATTATTGTGAAGAATCGATAAATAATGGCACTTCACAAGATATTCTTTTATATTTTCAAATAAATCTAAAATCAAATTATGATTGTTAAAAAAAAAAACATGTGTCTCCTTCACTTTTATGTTTGAATAAACTATTTGATAATCTTATTGTCTGTCTACAATTTATTTCAATGTTCCATAATTTCATTTAACAAGATGTTTTAAAACAGACACAGAATAATTGTCCTTTTAAAATTATCTATTAACACAGTAGGTACTATTTGGTTCGTTTGTTAGTTTTGATATAAAATTTACTCAACCATAATTTTAATTTGTAGTTTGTATTAGTTTTTAGTCTTAATACTTTTATAATATAATATTTAATTCATGTTACTTATTCTCTTACAAACAATTGTTGTATGAGATACTGCAAATATTCTTATTTGCACCTTTTTACCGCACTGATATTTGTAATGTTTTGATATTGTGTGAATAAATTATTATTATATTAATAACATAAGTAATTCATGTGATCTCTTCTTTAATACATTAAATTAAAATGTACAGCTGGAAATTTATGACTGATTTTGTACTTGGGAGAATACTCTTTTTAATAATTATTTTTATGATTCTTAAGTTTACTAGTCGTGTTTTTATATATTTTTTATATTATTCTGTAATGGAATAGTTGAATCTGTTGGTAAAAAGTCTATTATTATAAGCAATAAACATAAAAATCAAATATTTAACCAAAATATACCAATGTTTACATAATAATAAACGTTCTTTAATAAATTACAATACCCAATAGGTCATCTTCCGAAGTACTTCAGCTGATTTTACTGTATTTTCTAGTACAGTATGTTAAAGTTGTTAATGCCAGGGAATGACCACAACTCTTTCTCAAATTATAAAATATCTAAAATTATTTTAATTTTTGGGATATGCACTTGTACACTAGTGTCAATACACTTGAAAAGAGTATTTGCAACCTCTATGTCTTGTTTGGTGTGAGTAGCTAGGCTATCTTGAAACAAATCACTCTGGACTATGACTTGTTTATTCTCACATTTAACACTGACAGAATCGTCAAACATTTACTAAAAAACTGGCACTTGGGATGAGACACACAAAGAAGATAAAATAAGAACATTCAATCGAAAAATAAATCTATATTACCTCTAGGTAAATAATTATCTTTAAAATGTTTTGTACGGGAACAAACTTTCAAATACTTTGATACTTCCTTCTCAATTTTCAACCTTTTGTAACCTTGCATTTCTTGCATCTACAAGTTAAGAATTTCCACTTGCATTTTATAAAAAATACCCTATATTTATCAACTTTAGGAAGCAGACGAAATGTAAGAGAAGGGTCCATTTTTCAGGGCTGTATTGAGGCACACAAAAAGTATGTTTTTCACTGACATTCTACTTATATTCCAAATATAATATTTTAATATATATGATAAAAATTTAAAGCATTAGCTTATTATTAAATAAAATATTTCAGACAAAATACTTGTTAAATTTTAAAATAACATTTTTACTGACATGACCTGATAAACAATAAACAAAACTTGACAGAACACAGACCGTCAAGTGTCAAATGTGCACAACATTTAGTTTATTAGTTCACAGTAGAGGGCGTATCGCTTATCTTCAGATCCCAATAATTAAATACTAAGTCGTAACAGTATAGTCCGGTTTAGTCCAAGTTGCAAAAAAGACAAAATATCTTTGAACAAAACTATAGGTGTAATAAAAATTAACATTTATATAATACATATAAATGTGATAGCGAATTATATAGTTTTTTGGTCTTAGACGGCACTTAAAGCCTAGAAAACGTATTCATAAATTAACAAAAAAAAAAAAAACAATATGGCGTATCTTTTTATTTGAAATCTTATTTTTATGACCATGTCAAACTAATTTATTATTGTAAAAGGGAACGTTATCCCTAATTAACTTATAATTAAATTTTTTTATTATTGTAATCATTCAATGCAGGTCTTGAAATTGAACGATTTAATAAGTTTACGAAAACAGTCTTACAATTTAATTACTTGTAATTAGATTCATTGAATCATTTAATTGAAACACAAATAAATGCCTGTAAAATCAGTCAACCTTTGACGCTATTATCGCAACCACCACAAGTAAATTAAAACAAAGACATATTGTTTTTATTAAATTGTCTAGTACGAATAATTAGTAAATTACTGTAGTTTTTTTTGTAGAAGGACGCAATACCAAATTATTAAAAATATAAATCTGAGTTTAGTCGCGTAATTTAAATAATTTTGCAGTCACATTTGTGGGCCGTATAGTCTAACACTTTTACTGAAAACTCCCTTTAAAAATGAAATTTACATAAAACATTGATTAAACGCCAAATAAATTTTAAAATTTATGTGAAATCCACCACAACACTTTTATCTGTAAAATTAATCAAACAAACAATTTCCGTTATCTATAAGTGACGTACAAAAAGTTTATATTCATATCTAATGAAATTTAATACATACCTAGCAGTAACTGAAGCTTGACTCCCATAATGTTGGCATTGTTGCGATGCTACTGGTACGTCTGAAATAAAAACAATATTTTATTCATCATTTCAAAAATAATAAAAATACAGGGTGATATAGCTAAATATCTGTCAAAGCAAATTTTAAACTAAATACGAGTGAAGCTTTTTTTTAATAAATTAGTTGGTTGACAAAATTATTTTGTTTTTCTCAATATACAGTGTACTTAAGAGTTGGAATCATATGGAAAACTTTTTTATTATTCATTTCAAAAAAAGCTCTTATTTATAAAAAGTTTTGCATAGTGTAAAACCTAAAAAAAGTTTAATAAAGAAAAGTTATACGAAAATAATAGTTATAGGGTATGCGAATTCACATAGATAACAAATTTGGACAATTAAAGAAAAAATGTAATAATAAGACATCTCATTATTTTAGTATAGTATAGGACGATTGTTACGTCACAGATTTTACGTAATATTTTAGCTTAAGTAAGTTTGGCAATCCTATCAATATACAGTCCAATGCACAATCGCACATTTTTTGTCCTTTGAGCCTGATACCAGGAAAGCTCGCTACAATAATTAAAACTACGTCCGTCGTCTCCGCTGGAAAGTTGGTCGCCTACAAAGGTAGCTGCTGTATCAGAGGTAGGTTAAAGATCTTTATCATTGGAAAGTGAGTTGGTTAGATATAACTTATTTCTTCTTTGAGGTCACATAGATTTTATAGATTTCGTCATAAAATTAAGGCATTACCATATTGTTTTAAGTTATATTTGACGGAATAATGGCGCTAGATACAACTGCTGAAAAAATTAGGAATTTAGTAAAAAGGAGGTCAATCCTTAAAGGACAATTAACACGTTATGAGTAATTTTTAAATTCTTTTGATAATGTTGATATAACTCAGCTTGAAATTCGCCTTAAAAGGATATAAATCGCGTTTGAAGAATTTGAAACAATTCAAACAGACTTAGAAATACTAGATAGTTCGGAAGAAAGTTCACCTACTGAATTTGAGGATAGTTATTATTCCCTTATTGCGAAGGCTAAAATGCTGATTTTGACCGTAGAACCAAGTGTTTCAGAAAGCAGTCTAATTGAAAATGTCTCACCCAATAATTCAAATTTAAAGTTACCACCTATTCGTTTACCGGTTTTTCTGGCGATTATCAAACTTGGACCACATTTCACGATACATTTAATCGATTAATTCATCAAAACGAAAATCTACGGAACGTAGAGAAACTACATCATCTTAAAACTTGTTTGAAGGATCTCGCACTCAAATTAGTTGCTAATTTAGAAACTACAGATGACAATTACAATATAGCATGGGATTTATTAGTTGAACGATTTGAAAATAAGCTGCTAATGAGTAATAATCATATCAAAGACATTATTAATTTACCAAATTTGACAAGAATATCACCAACGGTACTTAGGGAATTGACAGACAATGTTCATTCTCATGTTTGTGCGATTGAAAAACTTGGTTTAGAGAGTAAGGCATGGGAATGGGTTCTTATCTATATTGTATCTTCTAAATTCGATCATGCAACTAATCTCGCTTGGGAGGACTCTTTAAATCCCAGTGAACTACCAACTTACCAAATGTTCAAAACCTTTCTTACTAAACGATCCTTTTCTTTGAAAAATGCCGCTAATAACTCATTAACACATAAACCATCACAATCATATTCTAAGAACCATTTTCATTCTCATCCCAAGGCCATCGCCAGTATGTCGGTTGTCCGTTGAACATTATAATCATGTGAAAACTTTTAAGTTATGTACCAACTGTTTACGACCTGGTCACAGAAATCAAGACTGTAGGTCTAGTCCAAGGGCGGCTTGTGACCTAAATTTTGGGGGTTCACAGTAGCAGAATATGGACTTCGGTACAGATATAGGTAAAAAACTGTCAGTGTTTTAGAAAGGGATATTATAAACTTTCTAAAACACTGAAAGTTTTTTCATACATCTATACTACTACACAAGAATAATCAAGTCAATCAAATGTAACTTCCATATAATATCCAATCCACACACTTTGATTTTCTTTTACTATACGGAGAATGGTCGCACTGCGCAGCTTTCTGAGTGCCTTTTAAAAGGAGATAGAAAACTCCGCCATTTTGAACCCTTATTACGTGTTGCCTACATCTTGGCGCAATATTTTTAATAGGTGCGTTTTAATCATCCGCTTCTGCTTCGGAATTGTCGGTTTTCTTGTTTTAATCTGACAGGTTAAAACGACTAAACCGACAATTCCGGAAGCAGAAGCGGATGATTAAAACGCACCTGATATTTTGCTTGCTGCTGTCAGTGTCAGTGAATATTATTTTTGAAGTCACAGTTTATTGCTAAAGAATCAGTTAGCTCACTCGGACCAGTTGAAAGTTCCAAAATAACATCCACTCCAGGGATACAAATTCAGGATACGCAGAAGACTGCTGTTTTATTATAGGCGGTTGTCATATATTGTATTATCCGAGTTGCACAGTGTATAAACTGAAACATTGAGATCCAAAGTGCCGACGCAGAGTGAGCGATCTGATTCTTTAGCTGTAAACTGTGTCACAGGGTTCAAAATGGCCGCGCCCTATGTTGGGCGTGTCGGACCTCTCTCTTGCCTCGTATAGTAATCAAAGTATGTGATCCAATCACATAGTGCTAATCTTTCATACAATTTGAATTCTAACCAGGCATCGCACACTACTCAAGGCCCTAAACTAACAGAAAACATAAAATATTTATCACGCGCACAGTCAAATTCCAAATTACCAATTGACATGACACAACGAGAAATGACAAACGTTTAAGAAGCTTCTCAAACTTTACATAGTATTTCTGATTCGCAAAGACCGTATGTTTTGTTACCCACCGCTCAAATATTAATTCACGATAAATACGGAAATATTCATGTGTGTAGAGCTCTTTTAGACTCTGGATCTCAGAGTAACTTAATAAGTAACAATTTGTGTGAAAAATTAAGATGGATAAATTTTATATACTTCGCTACAGACCAGAAACAAGTAGCGATTAAAATCTGGAGTCAGTCCCAAGGTAGGAGACTTAGTCATTCTCGTTGAGGATAATGTACCTCCTTTACGTTGACATATGGCAAGAATAGTAGAGCTGCACCAGGGAAGAGATGAAATTGTACGAGTAATATCAGTTAAAACTTCAAATGGTAGTGTATTGAGAAGATCGTTAGCAAAGGTGTGTCTACTACCAATCGAAGAATAGAAGTTTATTTAGTTACTTATTATTATTATTATTTAAATTAGTTATTTACGCTCGTATGCACCGCACACGTTTAATCCAGATCAAGGGTTTAATCGCGATTGGTACCACAGCTAAATATGGTACTAAACGCGATTAAACCCGTGATCTGGATTAAACGTGTACGGTGCATACGGGCGTTAGTTTGAAAGCTAATCTTTCAAGGTGGGCGGCTATGTTACGTCACCGATTTTACGTAATATTTTAGCTTAAGTGAGTTTGCAATCCTATCAATATTTTTGTAATATATTTTTGTGTATCCATATCGACCATGTTTGACTAACGTTGTAATTGAAATGAATAAAATAATTTTTGAACTCTCACGTTTGATTTTGAATAAAACACACGAATTTTCTTATACAGTCCATTGCACGACCGCACAACAATGTTATACAGCTTGTTGGGAAATATATGTTATACTAGAGTAAGATATTTTTAAATGAAAAACCAAAAAAAAATTTAATTTAAATTTTTTTTATTTATTTTATTTAGCTGAGGATTTTGATGATGTGGGTACAGAACCGCAAGTGCTGGAATTATGTGATGTTGCAGTAAATCCAAATATTGGTCAACTTTCAATGAACCGTCAATTAAAAGAGGTCCCACAATTATATTACCAACTGTTCCCACCCACACGTTGACTGTTTGTGGATACTTCCATCGTACACTGGTTCCAAATTCCCAGAATCCGGTTAAAATAGAAAAAAAAAATGTAATAACCAATTTTAGGAATTTTGATGTATGAGTCACGTAGAAGGGTGTTTAGGCTATCTCTTGGTGATAGGAAAATCCTTAACAATTGCTTGTCAAAGAAGCCGCCCGTAGTACTCCTACTAGAGCATCAAAATGTAGAAAAAGTTTTAAGATTACAACTAAAACTCCTTTTACCAGTGCAAAAGCTCTTTCAATATTAATTGAGTGTAAGCTTTCAAAAAGCCAGTACCAAGGTTAATAAGTTTGGAACAAAACTTCTTCTAGAAAGTATTGGAAGCAAAAAAATTGTGTTATCCTCCTCGGAGTTCCATAAAAATTACGGAAAGTAGCGCTGAAGTCGAACTACAGCAATTATTAAATCACACAGCTCAACATAAACTACAAACCCAAGAAGAAATTATTGACACTTTGACTGATAAAGAATTGCAAAATTTAAAGTTTTTTGGCAAATGGAGATGTGATGGAAGCTCCGGTTAAGTGAGTACAAACAGATATTTGAAGGAGAAAGCATCGGTCGTTCCTTTGCAGTTAGTTTACACATATACTAATTTTGGTAAAAATATAATTATTTGGAAGAATCCTAGAACGTCATCTCCACGATTTTGTAGACCACTTCGAATGCAATTTCTTCAAGAAACGGCTGAATTGACAGAAGCTGAAGTAAGGCATGTTGGAAACCAGATAAATACACTTTTGCCTTTTGAAAGAACCTTTAGAGAAAAAAGTGTTAAAATAACGTATACTATAAACCTAACCATGGTTGATGGATAAGTAAGCAGTCCCATCAGTGGAACAAAGTAATCGCAGCGTTGTTATTTATGTGGAGCAACTAGTAAAGATTTTAATGACATAAGTAAAATTTGGAAGAAGTGTGTTTTGGAAGAAAATCTTTAATTTGGACTATCCTACAAATTGGTCATTAAAAAATGGCAAGCACGAAGTGCTGAAGAGAAAAAACAGTAGATAATAGAGAAAAAGAGGTCCAACGTGAATTTCGTTTGCATTTGGGGCTAATAGTGGACAAGCCAAAGCCGGGCTTTGCAAGTTCCAATGACGACAATACTGCTC